GTACTCTTAGTATTCTTCTCTAACACCGCAACTCAAAAACATCAACTCTTCTTCCTGGTTCATTGTCCAGCTCTCATATGCATAAGAGACAAATGAAAATACCATGGCTTGGATTAGGCGCATCTTGGTCTTCAAGGAGACATCTGTACTCTTCATCTCTTGAAAGAGGTCTTTTACAGCAGATTTGTCCAATGCAATATGTCTTTGATATCTTGACTGCTGCTTCCATTGGCGTTGATTGTAGAACGAAGTATATAAAGTCCTTGAGAACGTCAATCTTTCTCCATTCATCATGAAGCTGTTTATTGGACCAGTTGTGAGGATTTTTGTTTTCTTTATACAGAGGTGCAATCAAAAAACTGCAGACTGTATTCTTTAATCTTCATCAGTAAGTGTTTCAAGTCATTCTCACTTTCAGCAAGTAAAGTTGTGTCATCTGCATATCACAGGTTGTTAATGAGTCTTCCTCTGATCCTGATGCCACATTCTTCTTCATATAGTCCAGCTTCTCAGCTTATTTGCTCAGCATACAAATTGAATAAGTATGGTGAAAGGATATAGTCCTGACACACTGCCTTTTTTTTTAAGAGATTGTTTTACATTCAACATTACATATACATTTAGTTCATTCCCCATTTACCATGTCCAACTCTAACCCAGTCTTCTTCCCTTACTACCCTGTAACCCTCTCCCTGTGTCCCTTGTATTTATGCACTCCTGTTTGTCCTGCATTTCCTCAATTTGAATGTTGGTCCTCTGGTGTCCCATGGTCTATTGCTCTAAGGGATGTATTACCATAGAGTATGTGGGTGTGTCATCCTGGGTTGAGTGGTCTGCATATACATCTTTTTAACTATTGGGCTGAGAGCCAGGCCTGGGGAGTGAGTTTTATTCTAGGGGCAGAATTATTCCAGGGCCATAGTATTTGGGGTCTCACCAGATTTCATCTGACCAGTGATGCACTCCCTTCTTGACTTTAAACCATGTAATATCCCCTTGTTCTGTTTGAAACAGCCTCCTGGTCTATGTACAGGTTCTTCATGAGTACAATCAAGTGTTTTGGAATTCCCATTCTTCTCAGTGCTAGCCATAATTTGTTCAGATCCACACAACTAAATGCTTTTGTATAGTCAATAAAACATAAGTAAACATCTTTCTGGTATTCTTTGCTTTAACCCAAGATCCATCTCATATCAGCAATGATATCCCTCATTCTACATCCTCCTGGCAGGAATTTAAATTGGATAATTTTTTTCAGAGATCATCTGGTAATGTATTCCAAAAAACCCAATTCACTGCCATCAAGTCTAATGTGACTCATAGAGACCCCCTTTGGGTTTCCAAGATGGTAAATCCTTACAGAAGTAGATTGCCCAGTCTTCCTTCTGCAGAGTGGTTGGTGGGTTTGAACCACCAACCTTCTGGTTAGTGACCATTTTGTACTTTCTTTTTTACGCATTTCTCAATTTTTGCATTTTTTATATTGATTATTAATCTTATAAAAATGATAAAGTCCTTATCATTTGTGGTTATAAAGAATCAATAATCTGGTTTAAAAAAATTTTTTTATTGTGATTTGGGTGAAAGTTTACAGAGCAAATTAGTTTTCCATACAGCAGCTCACATACACTTGTCTCATGACATTGACTACAATTTCTCACTGTGCAACAGCTCTCTTCACATTTCTTCAAATTTAATTTGAGAATTAAATTTAAAATCAAAATCAATTAATAAATATTCTTGAATATAAAATCATATAGACCTGAGTTCAAAGTCAATTCTTCCATGTACTATGTGTAAGGGATTGAACAGCATCGCCAAAAATATGTGGATATAATGCTATTTGGTAATAGAGTTTTCTTTGTTATGTCAATGAGACTTTACCAGTGTAGGGTGTGTCTTAACCCAATCACTTTGAAGACATAAAAGTAGCGGATTAGACACCAAAGAAAGGAAGCACAGATAGGAGGAGACAGATGCCATGCCACGTGAAGATGACCAAGGAACTGAGGAACAGAATTTGAAAAGAGAGAAGGACCTTCCTCAGCATCAACAGAGAGAAAGACCTCCTCCATAGTAAGTGCCCTGAATTCATATTTCTAGCCTCCAAAACTGTGAGAAAATAAACATGTTTGTTAAAGTCAGCCACTTGCAGTATTTCTGTTAAGTTGCTGTTGTTATGTGCCATTGAGTCAGATACAACTCATAGAGACCCCTTCTTGGGTTTCTGAGGCAGTATCACTATGGATGTAGATTGCCCAACCTTCCTTCTGAAGGGTGGCTGGTGGGTTTGAACCACCAGCCTTCTGGTTAGCAGCCAAGTGCCTTAGGCTACCAGAGCTCCCTTTCTGTTATAGCAGCACTAAGGAACTAAAAACACTATCCGAGTGACCACAGGCTTTCTTACCTGTGAAATGATGATGATAATACCTGCTATCCCTGCCTCAGATCCCCCTGGTTATATGAAAATAAATAAGTAGAAACAGAATTGATATCTACTACATTGTTTTCCAAAAGTTAAATGTATCTAGAAGCAGGATTTTTCTATGACAGCTCAAGTCTGTAAAGGAGACAGACACTTGTAGAGTATAATAATGTAGGGAAACCATAAGAAGTAAAAAACTTTGTTCTTACTATTCCATCCAGAGTCAAGACCATCATGTGTGCCTTTACTTTTTCTGCTCTTTCACTCTCAAAATCTAAAGCTCCTCCCTCACCCATACACCCCTTCTTAGCAATGATATCCAGCCAAGTGGAGCAAAGAATGTCTGACAACTCATTGCCAGACTACCATTAGATCAGGTAAACTCTGTATTTTATTCTCAAGAACGGGTAGGTAGGTTCTATGCCAGTCAGTGGAACTCAGGGACCAATGGAATAAACTAGGGAAACCTCTTCCAAGGATTGGATTCAACCCTGAAGTAAAGAAATAAGTAAACATTTTTTGAGAGTTTGCCACCTTTTATCTTCTTCATCTCCACTCCTCTGTCTTACCAGCAAAGGCATGGTTTTCTCTAAGGGGATTTCAGGGTGAGGGGTCCAAAGGGGAGACCCACCAATTGGCCTACATAAGGTGGGTTTTGTTTCTGTTTGTATCACCTCTTTTCATCTTAAGGATCTTAGATGCCTGCATCTGACTTTTTTTATGAACAGGCTAGGCATAATGGAGGATAAAGAAATTTTTACAGCACCACTACAAGCCTGCCTTAAAATGAGTTCAGAGTACACTCATGTCCAGTCGTAAACACAGGGAGTGATTGCATCATATCTGGACCATGGAAATAGTATACCCTTCAAGATGTTTTTGATATAACAACCCATTTTTAATTAATTTAAAATAAAGAGAACAATGTAAGTGTTGTTTCATATCTTTACTCTTTCAATAATGTGCAACATGAACATAATAGTGTTAAGAAGAAGTCAAGAATAACTTAACACAGTAGCTATAGAAGATTTTTTAAATTTGTGAAATTTCAATAATTATGTTCCCTAGGTTCCCCCAAATTAGTATATTTGTTAATCAAATTAATTAAGAAGCTTTTCAAAATAAAAGCAATGCTTTAAATAAATATATTTTTTCATAACCAAAGAACATTTAGTTCTATTGGAGGTAACAAACATATTATACTAAAGTAGTTTACATTGGGGTAAAAATTATCTAGATGCAATTATGAATGTATCCTAATTAGTCATTTTATTCTTTTTGTGTGTTTTTCTGCATGTGTTAAAATTATATCACAGATATCATATAATCAGATAGTTCTTAAATATCACAGAGATTATCTGACCCACAGAATTTATATCTGCTCAACATGATACACAGTATTATTTGAATAATATCTTTAAATGTAAATTTAGTACCCTAAATTAAATATAATCAATGCCAACGCTTCTTAGATGCCCATGTCTGTTACAAAAAATGCATGCTAGACTCCCAGTTTGGAAGAATTATACCTTCCTACAAATCTCAACCCTGCAATTTCACAACTGAATGTTACTGTCAATATCAGAATCCTAATTACTACTTCCACTGTGCTTCAGAGTACCACATCCCACTGCCATCGAGTTGAATTTGACTCACAGTGACCCTTTAGAACAGAATAGAACCATCCCATAGGGTTTCCAAGGCTGTCAATTTTTATGGAAGTTGACTGCCTCTTCTTCCTCCTTTGGAGCAGCTGGTGGGTTCTAACCACTGACCTTTTGGTTAGCAGCCCAGTGCTTTAACCACAGCACTACCAGAGCTCCTGAGTACCACATAGGTGAGTATAATTTCATTTATGATCAGCTTCTCCACTAAAATCATATCTGTTAGTAAACTACTACAGTAAATTTTCTTTCTAAAAATTGGTTTTATTTAATAAATATTTTAAATAGTTCACTAACTAAAGAAATGACTGCTGATCTTTCCGGAAATTCATTCACTTTTATTTCTACTGTGATTCTTAGGACTTTTGCTAACCTATGTTTTAATCTATCGAAACATTTAGGCATTGGTAAATTTGGTTTCCTTCAACAGTAACCTATGTTAAGATCTCTAAATTAAATAACAAAGACAGAGAAGTCAAGTTAACACAGCAATAGGTTACAGTAAGTGCTCTTTAGAACTTAAAATGAACAAGTTTGTCCCAAAATAATAAAGGAATAATTTACTAAATGAGTAATGAAACACAGAATAGAATTTACAGGATTTCACATACTTAGACATACACATACACACACACACATATGCACGCACGCACATGAACACACACACACACACTTCCACACACATCCAGGCATGGGTGTGTACATACATCTCAGATTTTAAAACACTGCTACTAAAGTTTTAACTTAGATAAATTAACTGCATTAAAATACCGACATTGTGAAAATATCTGTTTATGTCCAACACCCCATAGAGGGCGTACTTTTGTGAACTTCTAAAAGCTGAAAGGAAAAAAGGAGAAAACAGACTCCTTGACAGGAAGGATGGGTGAATATGCTGATGTTCTTTAAGTTCACAGCTTCCCTTTCTCTTCACCACTTTCCTTCTCTTCTATGGCTTCCAGGCTGCGCTTGCTCTTGGCATCAGCACCGCTGCTGGGGGCTTTACTCAGTCCACAGGACAAGCACGCCAGCTGGATCTGCTTCATGTTTTCTATAGCTTCATTTTTGGCATTCTTCAACAGATCTCCTTGGCCCTGCAGATAGGTGAAAACATACACCAAAAAAGAACATTATGACCAGGCATGACCTGAGTGACATCACTCTATCCTTCATGCTACTGCTGAATGAGGCAAGAGACCCAGACCCATAAGCTCACTTTCCCAGGGTTCAATTCAAGGTTCATTCTAGCAATACTGAGGGACTTTGCCTCAACCTGAGCCGTACCTATGAGAACTGAGGTTACTGACAGCTCCTTGAGATTCCTGCTGACAGAGAATTCCCATCACTAGAGTCTGAGACTTTACACACTGCAACAACTCCCTCCCCACACAGGCCCAGCATTCTTAGGCTTAGGAGAAAACAAGGACAACAGCTCTTCCTTAATGAGCTGAAAATTAAATCAGAACCCCTTGTATACAAGAGCTTACAAAGCAAAGCGTCTGCTGTAAAGTAAGTCATAAATCCTTATGAGTTTGTCTTTAATATATTGGGTTACCCTTGCAATTTGCCTTTTGATAAATGATTAGTCATCCACAATCCTTCTGCCTTTTCCATCATCCTGAGGAAAATATTCCCATCTGGAGGATGGAGAAAGAGGATCTCCAGAGACTCAATACATCGATCAAAACAAAAGGCCAAAGAGGATCACAGAAACAAGTTAGCTTTCAGTTTCATCAGCGCCTGAGAAAGTTCTCTGCTTACTATTTTCACTTAAAATTTTAGTTCATCATTATAATGATCAAATATATACTCTCATGCTGGCCAGGGTCTCAAGGACCAAGTGTGGGAGCTGGAACACATTTCCACAGTGTATAAACAAAAGGGGAAGTAGCTCGCTCGCTCTCTTGCACTCTCTCTCTCCTCTCCTCTCCATTCTCACAGCAATGTCTGACAGTGTGACCCTGAAACTGGGAAGAAGAATGAGGAAGGACATGGAGGTTATGCAGATTGCTGGAGAGCTCCTCTATAAAGCAGAGGCTGCAAGAAAGGGTAATTCACCTATTTTATGCAAGGTACTCCATGACACACTGTTTTATCTCTTTGATTTGATTAATATTTTTTCCTCAGGGTGTATGGGGAGACTTGTACTAAAAAATACATTAGAATAGTTCATCCCTTGAAATCTATGAAGATATTTACCAATTCCATTCCATGTAATAATATTTAGGAGCTCTGGTGGCGTACTGCCTAAGGCATTTGACTGGCAACCAGAAGGCTGGCGGTTCGAACTCACCAGCCACTCCTTGGAAGGAAGGCTGGGCAATCTACTTCTGTAGAGATACCGCCTCAGAAACCCAAGGAAGGGTCACTATGAGCAGAATCGATTTGATGGCAATGAGTTTGGTCTTTTTGGTTTGGTAATAATATTTATATAAATGCAAAAACTCAAACTCATTGCATTCAAGTCAATTCCAATTCATAACAACCCTGTTGTTGTTGTTGTTATGTGCCGTCGAGTCGGCCCCGACTCATAGCGACCCCTCCTTGGGTTTCCGAGGCAGTATCACTACAGAAGTAGGATTGCCCAACCTTCCTTCCGAGGAGTGGCTGGTGGGTTTGAACCGCCAGCCTGCTGGTTAGCAGTCAAGTGCTTTAGCCACTATGCTACCAGAGATCCTATAACAACCCTATAGCTGCATAAATCAGTAAAAACCAGTTGCTGTTGGTTCTATTCCAACTCATGGTGTCTGGGTGGCACAAATGGTTAAGTGCTCAACTACCAACCAAAAGATTGGCAGTTTGAACCCACCTAGAGGCACCTCAAGAAGCTCTGGTGGCATAGTGCCTAAGGCATTTGACAGTTAACCGGAAGGTTGGCAGTTCAAACCCACCAGTCACTCTGTGGAAGGAAGATGGGGAAAACTACTTCTGTAAAGACTGACTGCCTTGGAAACCCAATGGGAGTTGCTAGGAGTTGGAATCGACTTGATGGCAGTGAGTTTGGTTTTGGAGTTTTGAGAGGCACCTCAGAAGAAAGGTCTGGCAATTTGCTTCCAAAAGGTCACAGCCTTGAAAATCCTACAGAGTGTCATTCTGCTCTACATATGCGAGTTTGCCATGAAATAGCTGCGTCCTTCTAATGAAAGCCTAACTTTATGGGATGAATAAGTTGGGTTGTGCTTATTATTTTTCTTAAAGTGAACTTACCTTCAAGTATCTCAATCACTGAATGGAATTTTAGAAGCAGACTTGACTGCATAGTCTAAAAAAAGCTGAGCCTGATGAGGTAAATGACTGGCCCAAGGTCATGGCTATTTAATGACTGATCTGGGACTAAAGTCCACGTCTTCTGCTCTATTCTAGCTACCAGGTTTATAATCTAGTTTAAGACTAAAGACTGAAGACTCCGAATGAAAGATTTTTTTAAGAAAAAATGACCCACTATGCCAGCAGAATTTGTGGAATCTGTTATTCTCTATGGAGTCCTGGGTGGTACACATGTTTAACACACTCAGGAAAGGTTGGAGTTTCAAGGCTACCCACAGGCATGTTGGAAGAAAAGGCTGGAGATCTACTTTTGCAAAACCAGCCATTGGAAACCCTATGAAGCATGGGGTCACCACGAGTCTGAACCGACTTGGCTCTCCTAACAATATAGACATGAATAGTCCCCTCTTTGGAGCTCTGGTGGCATAGTGCCTAAGGCATTTGACTGCTAACCAGAAGGCTGGCGGTTCAAACCCACCAGCCACTCCTTGGAAGGAAGATGGG